TGAAAATTTCTAAGGTCATAGTTTAGTCAACCAATTTAAGGGTGTCTCATCAAGGTTTATTTAAGAATGTTTGGTTTTTACCCAAGCTTTATGTACATGGCATGTGGTAATTAAAAGTACCAGACTGGTGGAACTAACCTTTTCAGGTGTTTAAGACTCATACTTTGAGGCCTATACTAATCTAGTCAGAGGGACTTAAAGGACAGCTTTTGTTCCTTGCCCTCCAAGGTAAACTAAGTTCCAGGGGACTATGGAACATCTCTTGAAATGTCCTGTAACTGTGGTAACTCACCTGTTCTCTTGTTCAAGGAGGACATAGAGATCCCAGAAGATGAACTTGAACCAGTGTCAAGTCTACAAAGAGGAGGGTCAACACAGAGGAACATTTCCTCCATGCTTCCAAGTGAAGCCAGCTATGGTCAAGCAGGACCTTTGACTTATCTTTATATAGATGGAACTGGTTAAAGAAAGGAGCCGGATCTGGAGAGATTGCTCAGTGGTTAAGAGCACTGGCTGCTCTTGCAGAGGACCGGGGATGGAATCGATTCCCAGCACCTACATGGTGGCTATGAATCGTCCTTAACTCTAGTTCCAAGGGAATCAAATGCCCTCTTCTGACCTCCACGGCATTGCACAACACTGGTACACTCACATACATGCAGGCAATATACTCATACACATAAGATAAAAATAATAAATAAAATTTTTTTAAAAAAATTAAGAAGGAGCCAGGGGCTCCTCCCAAGCCCATGTGACCCCTGAGGAACAGATCCTCAAACGACCTTAGAAGTAAAAATAAATTGGTTTACTTGGGCCAACTACATGTTCTTAAACACCCAAAATGAAAGTATAACCAAAGATTCAAGGAATTACAAATCCCAGACATTAAGTTCTTATAAGATGTTATTTAGATAATTATCTCTCATTGATGATTTTATTCCTAATAAGACAATGCTACTCAGGTGTAAGACTTCAAATCTTCATCCGCAATACTGTAGTGCCCAACCCACTATTGTTCTAGCCTAAAAATTAAATGATGCCTAAATTTGTTTTCTCTCCCTATCTAGAGGTCACTTAAGACAGAACTGATTCTAGTCACTCCAACAGTTACCAAAGTGCCTGAAAACAAATCCTGAGTTCATCAATCATCAGTCCAGCCTTAGCAGGCAAAAGGAAAATGAGGAGGAACCAATAGATGGATGCTTTTGGGAGCCCTCATCAAGAAATCCCAATGGAGTTTGATTTGGACATTTAAAATTTGCCCTGTTCTGACTTTTCTCTGGTTCCCTGTCTAAAACTTGTAATACTAACTACTCTTGCCTTTACTTCGCCTTCACAAATTCTAGGCACCAGTCAAGGACCTTCTTTTCTCCCTATAGTTAAGAGTTATGCAATTTGGAAGTCTTTTAAATAGAACCACTGAAGGGGGTGCCCCAACTGCCTCACCCTGCATCCCTGTTCCGCATGGAAGAAGACAGTGCGGTCTGTGTCCCGATTCCCTATTGGCAATTTGGGTAAACCTCTTCAGAGGGTGATGTGATAAAAATAGGAGGTAGAAATTGACTAGGCAGTTAGGGGGAAAAGACCCCAAAGTAAAGTAGCCAGTTTCTTCCTTGGCTAAAAGTCAAAATGTCTTTGGGCCTTTTAGCAACGTACTCTGTCTCAAAGGCCAAAAAGGTTAAAAAGTATTTGGGAGCTCTTATCCCTAAAGATTTTAGGGTTACCTCTTCAGAGAGTGGAATGTTAGAGTATCAATAAGCCCCATAAATTGAACTGGTCCAGACTATAAAACATGTCTAGTCTATCTGTTGCAGGACCCACTTTTCCAATCTCACTGGTCAATTACCTGGTGATAGAACCACTCCCAGGAAGGCAGGTTCACCTTAAGTTATGCTAAATAGATGGGCAGAATACCTGGTATGTTAATAAGATAGTGAATTATTTCCTGCCTAGAACTAGCTCAGATCCCCACAGAACTTCCAGACAAGCCACAGCCATGTAGGTTTCCATAAGTCTATCCACTTTACTGAACTCTTCAGGAAAGCATAATTTCTCCTTTTCTTCTTCATGCCTTTCTTACTAAACCTGCTTTTTCTGAGGCTTTGGGCTGCCCCTAGTAACTTGTATTTCTTCACTTTTTCTCTAAGTTTCCTTCTCTAAGCCATGTGGCTGCAAGTCAGCCACATGTCTGACCCCATGCAGGTTCTAAATCTACATGGCTTCATGGCTTTCTTTCCTTCTTACTACCATTCACCTCCTCAAGGCAGCTGCCAAGATTACCAGCTCTCCTGCCCTGAGGATTTTTCTTTAAGATTCTAATGAAATTGTAAAAGCTTAAAAAAATAATAATAACACTTTCCTAATTCTACAGTGAGTATACCATAGGCAAAATTTCCATAATATAAGTACTATTTGTTTCAGAAAAGACAAAATGTGAAGCCACGAAACAAATGACACTGTCTGCAAACATGCAGAAAAGGGAAACCTGTAATTTAAAGGGCCTGAAAAATATTCAGGACCAGATGATTTCACTAAGAATTTTCATAAAAAAAGAGGAATTGACACAAGCTCTCAATATGTAAAGAAGAAATATTCTTCAATTAATTTTATGAGCCTAGCATTTACCTGATACCAAAATTAGTCAATGACATTTTTTTTTGGTCTTTGTAGCCCCAGCTGTCCTGGAACTCACCATATAGACCAGGCTGGCCTTGAACTCACAGAGATCCATCTGCCTCTGCCTCCCGAGTGCTGGGATTAAAGGCATGTAACAACCATGCCCGGCTATCAATGATTTTAAAAAATGAAAAGCATAGTTAAATTTTATCATGAATTAAGATGCATAATTCCTTAACAAAATATCATCGAATAAAATCTAGAAATACATAAAAATATTTTATAATCAAGCTACAGAATGCAAAAAAAAAAAAAACGGTTCACATTTTCAAAGTCAATTGACAGAACAACTACATAAACACACTAAAGATGGATCATTGAAACTGAGACCGAAATGACTCTTGGCAAAATCCAACCTCCAGTGATGATTTTAATGAAAGAAACTCCTAGCCACTAGCAATAAAGAGGAACTTCTTTAACTTGATCAAGTTTTTTTTTTTAATTTTTAAAAATGATTTATTTAATAACAACATACTTAGAAGAAGCATATCATTACAACACAATTGACATATTCAATAACGTTTTCCTGAGGTAGGATGCATAAATTTAAAACTTACAACACTTTTAGAAGAAAAAAAATTTAAAAAACAAAACATAACAAAAGAGGAAGAAGAGGAAGAAAATATTTGGCACTTGGGGGGTTGGACAGGGTCCTTCAATTTGAGAATCATTATAAATGGAAAAACTAATAAACTGAATCTCATCAAAATGAAAACAAACAAAAGATCTTATAATGAAAATAAAAAAATGTCACAGACTGAGAAAATATTTGAAAGGTATGTATTAGACAAATGACAGGTATCTAAATAAAAATATTAGGAATCCTAAAATTTGGGGGAGAAAATCTATTCAAAGTTGGCAAAAGACAAGAACAGGTACTTGATCAAAGCTCTCCAAAGGGCAAGTGGATGAAAAGGGGCTCAAGGTTAGTAAGCATATGAAAAGACATCAGCACTAGCCATTAGGAGAAAGCTCATTGGTGCTCTATTTTCACAAGCTGATTATCCTTTATCCAAACACTTGAGTTAAAAGAAAGGACTTCGGGTTTAAGATTCCATCACATTCTAGAAAGTGTGCATGGATATAATGATATTTGGGCGAAAGGAATCATAGCCATATAAGAAATTCATTTGTGTTTCACATACACCTGACACATATAGTCTGGGGGTAATTTTACACAATAATTTTAGTGTTCCTGGATTTTGATAGTGGCCTAGCACAGGCATATGGATATAGAAATTACAAAACAAACATACCATGAAATTACTATCCAATAATAAAAAAATAAACTTGATAAATATAACAACTAGACTGGAATTTGGATTGTAGTTGAATGGACTATTAAGAAATGGGAGCCTCTACAGAGAAGTGAGCTGGTAGGGGTATGCCTTAATATTTTTTATTATTTTTATTATGTGTATGAGTGTACTGTTAGCAATGTATGTAAGTAGACCCAAGTGTGCAATGCCCAGAAGAGGGTATGAGGTCACCTAGAACTGGAGTTACAGATGGTAGGTAGTTGCCTGGTTGGTGCTGGGAACCAATTTAAGGTCCTCTGCAAGAGCAGCCAATGTTCTTAACCACTGAGCCATCTCTCTAGCCCTGGGTTATGCCTCTGACAGGAGTATTTCAGCCCTGGTTCTTTGCTCTGTTTTCTGGATGCCAGGAAGTAAGCAGCTTTCCTCCACATGCCATTCCACCATGATGTACTGCAGGCTCCAAGTAACCATGAAATATGTCTCTGCAAAGCTGACCCAAACTAGATATCTCCCCCTTTGAACTGATTTTGTCAGGTATGTGGTCACAAAGATAGGAAAATTAAGTAACTTAAAAATCTTTCTCTGCATTATGTATTATATTTGTCCTTGCCCAAAATTTGCTTCATCTCTACTGACAAATATTTCATTCATTTCAAATAGTTTACTTCTATCATCTAGAAAGAAGATTCTAATGATTAGAGGCACCTGAAGGTAAATGTGCTTCCTTGAGTAGATCAGAGTCCCCTCTGTAAGACTTTCGAGAGAGTACATTCATGGAACTACCTCACAGACCATAGACATTACCCAATGACCTACAAGAGGAAAAGCTAGCCATAAAGATGACATGTCAGTTTTAATGAATATTCTGGCACTGGTCAATAAAAGGTTTACAAGCCTACAATAAAAGAATATTAGCCTACAAAAGAATATCTGGATTTAGAACTTATATTTCAATACACAAGTATATTTTCCACTAAAAATTAATTTTCTTATACATATTTATCTTAAGGTAAACATTTAAGCCTGGGAAAATGCTTTATTAAAGGTTTTGAATATCTAAATTACCTGCAAACAGAACACTGCCGCTGAGGCTGAAGCGCAGTGAACATGACGATCATCGAGTAGTTCCGAGGAGGTGCCTTCACAAACTTTCGGAATTTATCACCATTCATTCGGAAGATCGAGCGCCTGGAACTCCATTCCATCAGCTGCTCTACTTTCTCAGCCAAAAGATTCTGCATTTAAAGACAGGTATTTAAATTTATAAGGGTATTTCTCCACTGGAACCTCTCCCAAACTTGAGAGTTCTCCTCACTTTCTCTTAATAAATCTATGATTGTTCTGTTAACTAGATTTATGAGGACCTAAAATTTTTTACATTAGATTTTATATAAACAGAATTATTAGATCATATTTTAACCAATTAATCTTTGTTACAAAGTCTTTGGGAGCTTGTTTGGAGGTTCTAGTAGGGAAACACAGCTACTCTACTTGTTATCCTTGAAAAGTCAGTCCTCCTCTGTGGGGAAGATCTGTCTTTGATCCAGCTCCAAGATTCAGGAGGGACACATGTGCTGTGTTGTGGGAGGAAGGGGACACCCACCTAGCCAGCCAGATCAACTGAATCAACCCTAGCAATCAATGGGGTGACAGATGTCACAGCCAGATAGCCCTCACATCCAGAAAAGCAACCAGATTTCTGCGTCCAGAAAGATGGAATGAATTTTCAAACCTTCACACTATATACAGCTAAAAGTTCTGCCAGAGAATCAAAGAAGCCTCTAACACACATGGAAGGCGGACTGGAGAGGGACTTCCAAAATTTCAGGAATAACACAGCAATGAGCTCCCTAGGGGGGTTTCTTTTGGTATCTCTCAAACTGTTTGCTTGAGAATTCAAAAGTATAAGAATGCTAAAGGTGCAGACAAGGAAGTCTGGCTCTGCTCTCTATTCTAAGGACAAGGAGAGGATAACCCAGTGGGAGAAAGTAACTGCTCCACCCCAGCTGAAGACCAAAAGGAAAATCTTAACAGAAAAAAACTGTGGTCTCATTACTACTCTTAAAAAAAAATGTGGACTGGGGGGCCGTTAACTAAGTTTCTCTTTAAGAATTTAGATACAATGAGATAAAGAAATCTTTCCAGTGAAAGTTGTATAAAAAGTGTGTAATTTTTATTTATGAAGGACCAAAACAGGAAACATAAATCTGCAGTGACAGATGTAAGCAGGGTGATGAATGTGGAGGAGGAGGACAGTGAGAACGGGGAGCAGGAGGGGAACAGAAAGAAGGGGGGAACAGAGAAAAGTGGGGGGGACCGAGAGAAGGGGAACAGAGAGAAGGGGGAGCAGGAGTGGGAACAGAGAGAAGGGGGAAACAGAGAGAAGGGGGAACAGGGAATAGGGGATCAAGAGGTGGGCCAGTGAGAAGGAGGTGATCTGGAGAGAACACAGGAGGAACTGGACTCCTGGTGACATGCTGTTTTTCCAGGGAGGGCAGAGAAGAGAGAGCAAAGAGAGGAGAGGGCAGGGAGAGGAGCGAGCACTCTAGCTTCTCAACAGAAGGCTCTTCAGACAATCTGCTGTACTTGAAAAGGCCTAAGAAAAACCTCTAAAGGGAATCTGTGCATGTCAGTGTCTGTCAAAAACTAGAGTCACTTGGGAAGAAGGAACTTCCAGTACAGAATTTCCTCTGTAAGACTGACCTGTGGGCATGTCTGTGGGGCATTTTCTTGACTGAAAATTAATATAGGAGGGCCCAGCCCACCAGGAGTGGTGGCATCTCTGGGCAGGTGAGTCTGGGCTATATAATAAAAGGAGCTGAGGGAGCCAGGGGAGCAAGGCAGTAAGCAGCACTCCTCCATGGTCTGTTTCAGCTCCTGCCTCCAGGTTCCAGCCCTGGCTTCCCTGCATGATGAACTAAAACCACTATAACTCATAAGCCAAATAACCACCCATCCCCCAAATTGGTTTTGGTGAGTGTTTTATCAGAGAAACCAAACCAGAAGAGATTTCTATAAGAAAAAGAACTTCCTTGCCCTTGAGAATAACACAAGTGTCAGTGGTCAGAAGAGAGGCTTGGATTGCTAAATTTAAGTCAGTTCTACTACACAATTTCAGGAGATGTGTGATCTCTTTTCCCTCATTCTCAAATAGAAACCCGGCATTGGCTTCCCATGAATCCCTCAGAAACAGACCTGTAAACAAGGAGAAGGGAGATAGGCTGGCTTTAAGGGGAAAAGACTCAGTAAAGTATTCTGTGCACCTTAGAGCAAAGGAAAAGACAAAACAAACAGGATGGTGGAAGGAGGGAGTGAAACCTGGCCAAAGAGTGGATGCCTCACTTGGTCATCTGGCATATGATGGCATGCTAACTGTAGGAAAAGGAAAATCATGGCTAATTACTTGGTATGAGGTGATTCTAACAAAAAGGCAAGAAATGAAATTACTCCTAACTTGAAAATAATCTTATTACTAAGATGCAAATATATTTAACTGTTTGAAATTTAACTCTGCCTGAAAATATACTACAGTACATTTTTATAAGAGACTTATAATCTTATTAAACCCAAAAATCAAATTAAATTAATTTGGGAAAGATTGCTCTGCCTTGTCAACATGTTCCACGGAGCTGAAAACTACACAGACAGTATTCGTTAGTTCTTAGGCTTAATTCTGAGAAGCAAATATGAGAATATTTTCCACATTCAGCTTAACGTGCTAGTGGTCTGCCTTAGAGGAAACATATATTCACAGGATTTGCTTTTGTAAAAAGTCTTCAACTCTTCACAACAAACAATAATAACAATATATTATCTACAAAATAATATCAATTCATTATCTACAAATTATCTTAAGCCTTAAAATTTAACTAATACATTATATAAATATAATGTGTGTTTTAAATATTTAAGAATTGTGATGCTTTAAGCTAAGACAGAAATCTCAAAACAGAAATCAAGCAGAGTAAAAAGCACTAATGGGGGCAGAAGGGAATTGATCTTAGAAACTGTTACTTATCTGAGTTCCTAAAATATTTTCACAGTTTTCACATTAAATACAAACATAGCACACTGTGAACTTCTTCAAATTGGGTTTTTTTTTTTTCAAATAACACAATTATATCTACCAGTTAAAATAACTGCACAGGTCAAATATTCTACTCTACTTAATAGAGGCTACAAGCAAATCCAAAGCCAAAAGTATTTCTCAGGGTGGGAGAGTCAGCATGAACTTCATGTTGCCCCTTGCATCCCAATGGGGACTAAGTGACCCAAATTGGTACCATATAAGCAGTGGGTTTGTCAACAGTTGAAGAATCCAGTGTTTAGGAAACACCAATCTTCTGTTTTGTGCATGTGTGCAAGTAGCTGTATACACACGTTCATGCCAGTATGTGTGGGTATGGGCATGAATATGTGTGCATATATGTGCATATGCAGACAGACCAGAGATCTGTGGCCTTGTATTCCGCTATCACTGCACCTTTGAATCACTTCATCATTTCAGGTGGGATGGCTGGTCAATGAGCTCCAGAGAGCCTCAGATCTCCACACAGCCAATGCTGGGGATGTGGATGTGTGTGGCCACACCCAGCTTTTACCAGGTTCAATTCTAGTCTTTAGGCCTCCACAAAGGGTACTTTAATGAATGAAGCATTCCCCTCTGCTATGGAACCCCATCATTAAAGGACTGTTAGCAAGTCTGCACAACCTTTGTCCTAGTTGGGGGAGGGAATACTTCTGGGTTTTTTAATATTTTATTTATTATCTTTATGTGTATGAGTGCATTGCCTGCATGTATGTAAGTGCACTTGTGCTGTGCAGTGCCCATGGGTGACAGAAGTGGGCATCAAATCCCCTGGAACTGGATTTACAGACAGCTGTTAGCTGTTATGTAGGTGTTGGGAGTTGAACCTGGGTCCTTAACTGCTGAGCCATGTTTCCAACCCCAATATTTCTGTTTTTATGGTCAAGAAGTAAATCTGCCCTTTAGCCTGGAGATATTATCACTGTCATTCAAAGCTTTTCTCTAACAATGTGAAAAAAGTACAGCAGTAAACCTATTCGCGCTGTGCTGAAGATGTACAGATACATGACTACTTTATAGACAACTGCCTCCTAATAACAGCAGGCCACGTGTTCTTTGAAACATATAATTTACAGATGTAAATTTTTTAAAACTCAAACATGAAATATAAGTTGTTTAGTTTCTCAAAATTAAAATTCTAGTTTTGATATACATGCTGCAAAAGTCAGTATGGAAATATACAGCAAACTGTCAAAAAATAGTTTATAAGTGAAGGAGGTGGGTATCTGAGTATACCATTCTCAAAACTGGGTTCTAAGACAGCACTGCTTTGGCTTATCTACATATCCTAAAATATTTTTGGCAGGACTGGATCATTTTTAGCTATCACTTTAAGGCTTCAAGTCTTCAAAGGCAAAATCCAGGAAGTACTTCCCACAGAAATATTCACCTATTTGAGTAAAATGGGACGGACAGCAGCTTTTACTCCACCTGAACCTGTGCTGAATGAATTAAGAAGATAAATAAGGCTGGCATCTGTGTTCCCCAGTGCCTTCTAGCTTATGCAGTATTACATCTATAGCCTCGCTTCATCACCAATGAAAAGCCCCCAGTGAGGGACACTTTTTACTCAAGTGACAAGAGACCAGATAACTTATATCTGCTTTTAAAAAACAAAGCACAGCAACTTTCATAGCAAGCTTGCCAGGAATGCTTAAGGCCCAGGCCGATAGCCATAATTTGGCTAAACAAAGTCCTTTAAAGTCTATATTTTACACATTTCCTTGCTACACAATTACAATAGACCTTCAGAATTATACAAATGTAAATTCTGTTAATCACTGATACTATGCAAACTGAAAACCACTACCCTGCAAGCCTAAGGGTAAATACCCATACTTAACAGCCAAAAAATTAAAAATAGAAACAAAGGAAAAATAAAACTTTTACACATTCCTACCTTGAAAAAGGTAACATTCCAATTAGATGAAGTTTTCTTATTTCAAATAGTCCAGAATTTTTGCAAAGAAATGCTCATCATTCTGCATTACTGGAGAGATGTAGTGTTCATGATTTTGGTTATGACAATGCTGTCCAGAAAAAGGTATCAATGCACTATAGAAAAGCTATCTACAATGTGTATTAAAATGCAAACTTCGCTATTCTCTGACCAGACTCTTGTATTTGTTCTCATTTTCTCTTTACATA